TTCCAGAATCATTGCGGAAAACTTAATAGTGCTGTGTTTAAAATTCACAAGCTTTGAGAGAGTTAAATATGCCTGATAAACACAGCATTGAAGAATCAATCAGGCTAATAAACTAGGGTAGGCTGAAATATTGATGTGAAATTTTCGGTGGGAATCGATAAATAATATTGGTTTTTACGCAAATCTTTGTGTAATAATTAGATTAGCGGATAGTGACGTCGTTTTATTTACCACAGTGCGCCAAGTCTATGATCAAATGAAAAGCATGACAGCTTCCTTAATAATAAACAGATTTCAAATAAGTTTTCATTGATCGGTTATATTAATGATTAGTTTTTTAATGAGATAATGTAAAATATTGAACACGCAGAATTAAAATGCTTAGGTTGGATAGTTGATTAAAATCCTCACTTTGCAATGTTGTTTAGAAGGAAATGTTTTTGTAGTACCATGTGTCGCGCTGATACGGGTTCGTGCCGTCCGCGTCGTCTTGTCTCCTTTTAATTAAATTATGCGATTCGAAAGGTAGAATAGCCCTTATATCATGAATACGCAGCGGATATAACTTTATTTGATGTATGACTACTGCTTTATAAGCTAAGCCGGACTTGTCCAACCGGTCCGAAGCTCTCGCAAGCAAAAGGGGCATAAGGCTGTCCTCGACCTAACCGTACCCTCACTCGAGATGACCAGATGGGACGTCATTAACATATTTCACGCTTGTTAAATAAGAATCTTTAAGAAAATTTTGGTACATCAAAATGAAAATATATGAAGATTCTAAAAATATTAATTAACTAAAATTCAACCCGTCGCAAACTTTTTTTTTCCTACCTATGCTGATAGCCTTGAGAGGCTATTTCAGCTTCGCCCTAACGTGTGTAGATTAGCTCACGGGGCTCAAACCGGAGTGTTGCTAACACTGACCCTAGCAAGAGCAGTGCTTCGCAGAATCTTCCACCGGATCGGAAACGCGACCCACTGAGAAGATCTCAGTGGGCTGTGTCTATGGGTTAATTCGCTCGTCGAGGCCTTCGTCGCAAGCGACGGGTTCGACGAGGACGGTGACCGGTGCTTGTGGTGCCTAAAAGCACCGTTAATGGATCGGGAGGATCCGTAATGACGTGCTTTGGGCGACGTCGACTGTTTACCATTCGGTCTACAGGATCGGGTATAGTCGCAAACCCTAAACCGGTCGCTACTTCTAGTGTGCTGGAGATCTCGAGTTGCTACCTTTACTACTGGGGGAACTGTTGGCTCCAGTACATGAAGGTGTAAAACATTTGTTTGGATTCGATTTTTCACTTAGATGTGCTTACTTTTAAAGTTACATATTCCGTTACTACAGTTTTGTGGTCATGGACAACAAGTGCTATTAATCTAAACATGAACATTGTGCTAAATAACGTGAAACTTTATGTTTTTTGCACCCTAATAGAACAGCCAGTATCTTTATCAGCATTGTTGGATAAGCACAACCCATAAGAAATATTCTAAACAAGTTGTTGTTAGTAATTAGTTGTTCAATGATATTTCAGTACTATTTCTACATCAGTGAACAAATAGTACCATGAAACCAATCGGACGGAAAGTGACTTAGACCTTGGAGGAGTCATGTGATTAGTTCATGACTGCGTATGTCCATTCTTTCAGTCATGGCCTTATTCGTTTTTCTTGACGTAAGTATATCTACGAAAGAGTTAATACTAGGGCTTCCACGATGCGAATGTCCCCGTTCAACAAGCCTCCCCAATTACTGACAATAGCGGCTATCCATAAAACTGTTACACTATGCGTTTCGGTTTGAAAGGTAGGGCAGCCGTTGTACTGTTTTAACTGAGACTTAGAACTTGTCTTGAGGTGGGTGGCGGCATTTACGTCGTAGGTTTCTATGGGCTCCGGTAACCACTTGACACTAGGCGGGCCGTGAGTTCGTCCACCTACCTAAGCAATTAAAAAACTTCATGAGTGTGTCGTGGTATCAATAAACTCGACAGTTACACGAAACAAATGCACGCTTTTTCGTTCTCTTTGGCACAGGGAAGCTATCTATTGTATTTGGATTTGTTCAGTGCAAAACGCGAAACTTCTTCTGGTAAATCTTTATGTATAAGCAAGGTACTATAATTTTTAGACGCTAGTTAAATTGAGTCGTCTATTATCAAAGGTGGCAATCTGTGCATTTGGACAAAAAAATGTTATTGATATGTCAATACAGATTGATTTGAATATAATCGTCTCCTTCAAAGAATACGGTTCAAAACCTGCATTAAATAAAGGTTAATACTTAACCTGTTATTTATCTAAGATGTCGTTCAGAAGAGTTTTGTGACTGCCAATGGAATACAAAGTCAATAATTCGTTTTTCTGATTTACCAATAATTGTCCAAAAGTCACATTGCCGGCTTTAATAATAGTCGACTCAATTATTATTTGCGTCAGATAGATATTGTGATTGCCGAAGAGATTTAGGCGTTTCCACAATGTTTGGTGGTATGGTTTTCATAATTCGTCCGTCTTTGTTCCAGGCTGCTTCATATTCCTGACATATACGTTGGCGACAACTCCTGGTAGCTTCGCAGCGGCGCCCGTCGGACCTTCCGATCGACCAGAAGCCTACTTCAACGGCAGCTCCTATATCAGACTATCCAGGCCCATTTCCTTGAAGCAACTTGTTGGACTTAGTTTTAGAACTTGTGTTGGTAAGTTTGAAAAATATTTTTTTATTGTTTATTTGGATTCACTCGAATGCTTGTAACTTATAGTTCGGTTGTGCACTTCAATGAAATGTATTATCGCATCTATTGGACTCGCTCGAGTACTTTCGTTGTAGTTATAAATTATTCAACAACAATTTGATTATTAAACTTATTGACCTTTTTATTTATAGTAAAGTAAAAGGTAAACAATGACACGAAAGGTTTTTAACCATTACCCTATTATTTTTAATTTCCTTTGTAACAGATGATCACATAAGGTCCATCTGTCAGTGAGTGGTTAGCGTCGCTCAGGAACTTTACTAATGTCAGGAACACAGCCATGCCGCTGCCTACCAAATGTGTTACATGCCATGGCATCAACAAAAATATGTGTTAGAACTGTGGATATATCGACTATCGATCTACGTATATTGGATATATCACGTCGGGGTCACCAGTCTGAAATATATACGACAAAGGGAAGATCTTCCACCGAGCGGATGATATTGCTGGGTAGACTGACATGACGGTCCGAATGTTGTTGTTCGAAACTTGTATATATGCAGGCTTATCTTGAAAATGTTGTCGTAAGCGAGATTCAGGCATATTACGTCAGATATCTTGTGTTGTATGGTGTATGATGGCTGCCCGCCACAGAACCTTTCTTGCCTTAGACGCCATTTTAGGTTCATCTGTCATTAGCTACTTCCATAGACTTGGTCAGATGCTTCAGTTGTCATCCGATACCATGCTCTAGTTGAACGTGTGTTTTGAAACATGCGAATTAGTTGCATTTCTGGTGCAGTGCTACTACCATATATGTCACAGTATCATTAAGTGCTTTTTGTATTATTGCTTACTGTTATTAATGTAATGACTGTTTGTGTTTTGAATAATAATACAAAACTAAAATAAAATTAGTCGATTGTGACCACGAGAAGTAAAGAAATTATTGGTAACGCCGCGAATTGTAGTACAATTGACGAACCAAGCGATAGTAGGCGGTGTTAGTGGCAGTTAGAGTTACAATATTCGATCATATGCGGTACTACGTGTTTACTATCTGCTAACACGTGAACGATATGCTGTGTGCTCCGTCGCCCACATTCGTTACCCTGATTACGTCACGACGAACCGGTCCATACGACTCACGTCACGATCTTAGGAGAAAGGAGTTTCTTTTTATTCCGTTCCAATATATGCGGTCCACCATATTTTGATTTTACGAATATGTATCCTCTGTCTGTTTCATTAATGAAGTAAATGTACTGCTTATGATAGACAAGCGGCTTTGGCGTCTTGGGTAAGACGACCGATGTACTCGTAATGCATATTGCAACGGTATATTTATAGTTTTCGCGGGTTTGATATTAAACGGTGCCATTCACTCGATATGTCATTTACGACGAAGAAATCAAATTGTTTTCAGCCTTGGAATACAAAAAACGAATGCATTAGATAAATGAACACATTCTGATATTATATGATATTTTGTTTCAAATCATCAAACGCAGTCGCATGGAATTCGATGTGTGATTCATTCGGTATTGATTACCATATTATGCTCATTTGAATAATTTGCTACTTTGAATATTTTTAGCGTTATGTACCACAGACATAAAGATACGCTTCGAATAACTTGTGAGGTTTTATTTTTGACTGTATGGCGGAGTATGGCTTGTGTCTTCAAGCAGACGAGGCACCAGCGATTGGCTTGATTGACGCAAGCGTACGGTGTAAAGTTCAAAGTGAAACCCACGATTGCCTTGTGGCGGAGATACGCAGACTACTTTTTTTCTTTTTTTTATTGCCCTTGCAGGCAGACGAGCATACGGCCCACCTGATGGTGAGTGGTTACCGTCGCCCATGGACTTCGGCAATGCCAGAACTCTTGAGGACATACAATGTGACCTACCATCTGTAGAAGCTTCCTTCCCTGCCTAAATTACTCTTATTTTTATTTTCTGTTCTTAAACTTTGTGGTTAACATTTTTTTCAAGCATTGGAAAATTCGACCTGGTAATTCTGTGAACGGTTAATTTTGTGTCAAAATAATTGGATTTGTTACATTAAGCTAACCTGCTATTGAGGAAATCGAAACAAGAACTTGGTCTACGCTAAGTACCTACTCTTTACCGTCAGAAAAAACAAAATAAATAAAAAATTAATAGATATCTTCATGAAAAGGGTACTTGATATATGTAAATAGGTATCGCAATAATCTGGCGGAACAGCACATTCGCACTGCACAGCTACATAAATACAGTGAATTAAAAATCCGTGCGTTTAGCCTCGACGCGAGGTTCGACGCGTGACGGCCATTATTCCTAATTGGTATCAAATTTCTATCATTTTTCCAACTTTATGGAATAAAAACAAATGACTACACAACCCCGTTACAAAAAACGACACGATTATATTTTTGAGTGTATAAATAGTTATGCGAAAATGCTAAATGAAGAGACTCTTGAACATATCTCACAATGTCACGTAAATGTGAGCTCAGAGAAACTGAGCACTTGCTTAGCTTCGAACCAGCAAGCTTTAGGCGCAATTTTTTTTTATTGCTTAGATGTGTGGACGAGCTCACAGCCCACCTGGTGTTAAGTGGTTACTGGAGCCCATAGACATCTACAGCGTAAATGCGCCACACACCTTGAGATATAAGTTCTAAGATCTCAGTATAGTTACAACGGCTACCCCACCCTTCGAACCGAAACGCATTACTGCTCCACGGCGGAAATAGGCGGGGTGGTGGTACCTACCCGTGCGGACTCACAAGAGGTCCTACCACCAGTGATTACGCAAATTATAATTTTGCGGGTTTGATTTTTATTACACGATGTTATTCCTTCACCGTGGAAGTCAATCGTGAACATTTGTTGAGTACGTATTTCATTAGAAAAATTCAATTCAAAAATTCAAACTGCTAGGCCGCGATCGCGTTCAATGGACCTTGAACACTTGATTGTCTACAGAGACAGCAGACGTTCCGACGAGCTAATGTAAGAATTGTCTAGGCTATTCTTCTAAGAGGCCTTTTTTGGAATAGCTAGCAGGCGTTTTGGTTGCAAGTTGCATCATTTTGTGCAAATCTATGATTCACATGTGCCGAAAGAGATAAACTTGTATTTGTTTAAAAGTATTTAGACTGTTCCTGAATTATAGCTAAATATATTATAATATACTAAGTTGTAGATTAGCATACTAAATTCAACGCATTCCGCACTCAAAATAAGTGCACTTTTGGTATCTAATAATGATTGTGAATATCTATTGACGTCTCTTGTACTCGTCGAGGGATGAATCGGATTAAATTCGTCTAATGAAGAACACTCGCGACAATGTACCGTAAAAACTGAGACCCAAAAACTCATGTCTCGAGGTGGGTGGCGGCATTTACGTCGTAGGTGTCTATGGGCTCCGGTAACCACTTAACGCCAGTGAGATCGTCCACCTAACTAAGCAATAAAAAAAAAGAAAATATCGAATAAAATTAAATCTTCTGTTATTTCAGGAGGGGAGCTATTTTCACAAAGGTTCGAAGGTTACACGTTACACGTGACCGCATTGTATGAACAAGTGGTCGTGTCCTGGGCAAGACCCGCGCAGCCTCACAGGGAGGTGGGCCTGGTGAAGGAGACGCTGGACAACAGGTGGCATTGGGTCGCCCTCCGCTACAAACCGAACCCACCGTCCTTACTGCTCGAAGTAGACCGAGACACGCAGGTGAGAACGGCTGGTTTGGATACAGCATATGCCTACTGGTATCCGCCAATTTGAACCTTTCTTAGTTTCTATATGTTTGTATATCGTCTGTAGGCTCTTGTCTACAGACCAACTTGAGCTAAGATATCAAGTGCATTCTTAAAATTCATATCTTCTGCATGTTGTGTTCTTAAAATTCAAATTTAAGGCTCTTATATTTATATTTTAGATTTAGTTTAATGTAAGTAGTATTTTTGTGTATATTCCATATTATATTTTAAAAATTGAATGACAGTAATTGATGTAATTTATTTACAAAACTATATCGTTTATGCTATCTACGAGTTACGAAAAAGTGTTTTGATTTCCTGGTCTTTAATAAAAACAACCGTAAAATTTGTGTCAAGGAAATGTTCGTTTGAGAAATTTACCAAAATGTGCGTAGATTTGTTTTGTAATAAATAAAATTTTCTATGCTACTGATCACTTGAAAGTAAAACCTAAGATTAAAATGTTCAAGGTCAACTGTTGCACAGTAGAAAAAAGTTGATCGATAAATGAAGTTGTTAGCTAGGGCAGACGCGGCATCGTTGGTGCCGGCGCCCGAGCCCCCATAGACTACGTGTGCACTGTCCACCAGTTTGATATGAATACATGTCGTTAACTGTTACACCGCTGGCCATTGGAGTCGATTTCACAAACCTTATGTGCAGCTGTTTAATTCGTTATATTTTCAAATTAAAACTTGTAACTTGTAATTGAAGGACTAAACGGGTTAGGGCTTAGCTGTCAATTAATTATTAGCAGACTCTACTTTTCTTTTGAATATTAGGAGATCCGTATTAGAAAAATATTGTAAAAGGCTTATCTGTAACGTTACCTGAATCATATAAATGTCCTTCTCTAATCGAAGGCTAATAATTCGCTTCTACTCGCTTCAAAGTGGCTGCCATGACTGATAAGATCTTCAATTCCAGGTGATTTCGAACGTGACATGGAACCCTGAGCTCCTGTCGCCTGGTGCGCTAGAGGCGGGTGGGGCCGTCGTGTTGGTTGGCAACGTGTTCAGCGGCTGCATCCACGAAGGACCTCAGCTCGAGTTCCACGCGGCCGGAGCACAACTCAGGAATGTTGTGTTCGGAAACTGCCCATTGACCACAGACGAATGTAAGTTCAATTTTCCTATATCGATAACCCAGTTTTGACTGGAAAAAAAACCTTTGAAGTATTGTATTTAAACAGATTCTCTGGTGCCCATCGGATATGACAACTAGCTAAATGGTTTTTGAAATGTAGGCTGCCATGCTAACTTGAACATACATTGATTACAGGTATCGACAGGAAGGACGTATTGAGGATACCGCCGAAGGACCACTGCTACAACGAGCCCTGCATGAGACACGGCACTTGTATATCTAGACACGACAGGTACCTTACCAGTATTTTGTTATCGTACACTAAAAATGGCAATAAAAGAAATATTCCACAGTCGTCGTAGTCTAATGGGTAAGACGCGGCGTGTACTCGGATCGAATGATGCGACCCTCCCGGTGTTCAGATCCGGTATATTCGTGATGTCTTGGGCTCCGGTAATGACGACAGAAGCTTTTTGTATTTAAATTGTCTTCTAATTGTTCTACAGTGATCTTGTATTTTCATTTGATAATGTAACTGTCGCTCAATGCGTCCAGCAAGTTCCCAACAGATATCAAGTTTTAGCCAAAGCTGAAGTTTTTCTTACTTTTATATTCAAAACTTATCTTAGTGCAACAGCAAACCTTTTTTTTTTTATTGCCTTTGTAGGCAGACGAGCATACGGCCCACCTGATGGTGAGTGGTTACCGTCGCCCATGGACTTCAGCAATGCCAAGGGCAGAGCCAAGCCGCTGCCTACCGCAAAAGCTTTATCAGTACAGTAACGGAATAAGATTGAAACGTTTAAATCTGGTGAGAGGGTTGCTTGTCAGACGACAAAGAGCGGGCGAACGTAATGTTTTATGACGTCACCGTCATTTGCAAGCGTGTGAAGGAGATTGCAAGTGTATCACGCGCGTACTCTTAAGGTACGCGTCCATTGGTCCGCACACAACGGATTTTCTTTTGCTTTGTACTTTTTGCTCATAAATGCCGGCGTTCGGCGCGAGCGACGCGGATAGTGGACGCAGCTCTATGTGAAATCATGGACGCGTACCTTTAAGGCTCCGTCAAACAGAACGCGTACTTAGCGCGCGTCAGGGCGTAAAGGCTTCGTCAAACGGAACGCGTACTTAGCGCGCGTCAGAGCGCTAAACTGACGGCGCGCTATGACGCCGAGATGTGTTGTACTACTATGGTAACATACCGTCAAACAGAGCGCCAGCGCTATAAGTACGCAACGCTCTGGCGTTAGGACGCTTTGACGTCAGGCGTTGTAATTTTTTACAAATTTTATTTTAGCGTCCGAGTTAATGTGTATTAAAATACTGGATAATGCCCGAAAATTTTATACAATTAGTCAGGAAATACCCATGTTTATACAATGCCACATCTGAATCACTCGACATCTTAATACTTTTAAATTTTCACACTGCTATCGAAAGGCACTATGATTTGGCGTTACGTTGCGTCAAGGAGCGTTGGGCTCATCTAGTCAATTTGTGTGACATGTATAGAGCGCCACGTTAAAACGCAGCACTAAGTACGCGTTCTGTTTGACGAGTATATTTCTGCGCGAGGGTAAGTAGGGTACGGTAGACAAGCGCGTGAGAGGGTGGTGGGGCCGCAGGTACGAGTGCCACTGCACGGCGCGCTACACGGGCAACAACTGCGAGGTGGACGCCGGCGACCCCTGCGCGTCGGCCGCGTGCCGCCACGGCGCGCGCTGCGTGGAGGACGGCCGCGGCGACTACAGCTGCGACTGCCCGCCTGGCTACCACGGTAACCTCTCTGCGACAGCTTTACTTACTTGGTCCCTTCTACACCTGTAGCTAACCATAAAATGAACATCTACCATAGAGAGACGTTATAACTCGATAAACCGAATCTGTTCTTCGGAATTGGTGTATCTGTAAGGTTTTTCTTGTAAATGTAGCCAGCCACATACCTGATAATACTCTATTTCACTCATTTAAAAGACGATTCTATTAATTTGTTTTATTTACTCAATATTTTTATGTCAATATTTGTCTCTCAGTAATCCCCCTAACTCAATTAAAACGTTAGAAAATCGATTATCGATCACGGCCACGAATCTCAGTGACTTCGTTTCCTAATGCCCCAGGTACATACTGCGAGCTGGAAGTGTCCCTGGACCCGCTGTGCGTGGCCGGCCCGTGCCGGAACAACGGCAGCTGCAGCGTGCCCCCCGGCGGCGACACCTACCTCTGCACCTGTCCGCCAGGTAACCGTCCCCAGCTAGCGTCACTGAAACCTGCCGCGTCATACTTATTATAAAATGCTGGCTAAATTACTTTAGCTGATGCTCACTTTAGCTGACTTTAATGCAAGTATTTTGCAGACTGTTGACCGTGAGCACTCGTGAGCACACTTGTGTTATGTAGATATGACTTATTGAAATGATGCGTTAGCGATACAAATGATGCGCTGAGCCTGCGTCCTCTGGTGACGTCATCATTTCGATATGTTCTTTTTAGCTAAGAGGGGCAGACGATCTCACGACTCATGTCAGGCGATCAATGGAGTACATAGACTACTACTGCCAACTAGCGCTTACCGTTAGTCTAGGTAGAGCTGAACTAGAGGGCAATGCTTACAACTGGCGGATGTCGAGGAAGTGCTATCAGCAACTCCTCGCCTGCCCGCGACCTGTGGATACTAATCGGATAATGTATTGTGGCTGCGGCGGCAGGATACACGGGTCGTAACTGCGAGACGGACGTGGACGAGTGCTCGGGCGCCGCGGCCTGCCTCAACGGGGGCCGCTGCGTCGACGCCGTCAACAACTACACCTGCGACTGCACCGCCACAGGTCAGTGCGACCTCCCCCCCAACCTCACCTCCACCCCGCCCCGCCCTCGGGCGAGCGTCGACTGAGCGTGTGTGGTGCGCAGGGTACACGGGCGCCCGCTGCGAGACCAACGTGAACGAGTGCGAGGAGGACCGCGCGCTGTGCGGGCACGGCGTGTGCTACGACACGTACGGCGGGTTCGTGTGCGCGTGCCAGCCCGGCTACACCGGGGAGCACTGCCACAGGGTCAGTACCACCTACACTCACTTTTCTTTTTAATACGCTTTTATTAGTTTCAGACGTGTGTATGTTAGTATGTAACGGAATCTTTGAACATGATTTTGACCCCTTCAAAACGTCGTTTAACGCGTAACTTGAAATTTGGTATACTTATTAAGGACCGATGACAATTTAATAAAATACTAAAAATAAATATTGAAAAAATTGAAAGTCAACTAAAAATGAAAAATAAATAATAATTTAAAAAAAAAACTAACAAAATACGCTTTTATAGAAAATCCAACTAAAAAATAGAAAATAAATTTGAATTAAAAATAGTATAAGAAAAAATGATTTTATTGTAAAAAAAGTGTGGGGTGCATGGTATCAGTAGTTATAAATATTTTATGAACAGATATGAGTAGAAGGGTTATTTTATAATATCCTGAAAAGCACCCCACGCTTTTTTTACAATAAAATCATTTTCCCTACACTATTTTTAATTCAAATGTATTAAAATTTATTTTCAATTTTTTAGTTGGATTTTCTATAAAAGCGTATTTTGTTAGTTGTTTTAAACTATTATTTATTCTAGAATAACGACGTCATTGTGCATTGGTTTGTGGTAGATGTAAGTAGGATCGTGTGCAGCGCACAACACACGCCAACACTAAATAACTATATGTACGAACGAATACATTTTAAGAGCTTATGTTTTGTGCCGCGGTTCCTTCATATTGGGAGTCTCTCATAATACCAAGCCGTTGGTTGTATAGTACCAAATTTTTAATATCTGAAATTTGAAACTTGTCATTTTCGTAATTTTATATTTTTGGAAGCTCACAATCACAGTGGAGACAAAACCCTCCACTATCCGGAGACTGGGGCGTCGTCCCTATGTGTGTGCAAAGCTTTAACGTTATTGTCTGAAGAACCAGTTGACCTCGTCCGGGATCGGTCTCTCACGACCGGTGCATATATAGCTAGTCTGTGGGCGCCAGCCCTGACTCCGCTGGAGGTCTTAGGTCTTCAGAACGTCTGATATTCACTAAGTTTGTTTTTTACGTTTAACTTAATACTGTGTGTTCTTTTTGGTATCGTTATTAGTTCTACATGAATAATGCATTGGCATATCTGTGTAGATGTCGGCGTGTGCGTCAGGACCCTGCGGAGCGGGAGGGGCATGCGTGGAGGAGGGGGGAGGGTTCCGGTGCGTGTGCGCGCGCGGCTACCTCCCGCCCCTGTGTGCTGCCCCCGCGCCCCCGTCGCCCTGCGCCGACCTCGCCTGTCCCCCGCGGTCGCACTGCTCAGCTGCAGGTCATTTTATAACTCAATGTATATGCGGTATGCGGCAATAGCCTCCCCGGCCTGCTGCTCCTCGCTATGCCGTCTATGATTTTTACTTGAATATCTACCTGATTCCTACTCTTGATGGTAGAATATGGCACAAGACCCTTCGATGAGTGAATCTAGGTTGAAGTAAGACAGCCGCTGTACCGATACAAATAACACTTCATGCTGGCGTCTTCCGGGGACTGGCAACATTAATATTGTAGTGACTGTGGTTTATTTGTGTGACAGTACATAGTGCGGGAGAAAAAGAAACAGAGCAGTCGGACTTGGCTCCGTGGGTACTTTTAAAAAGTGCACTGAATCTTGGTAAATTTCGACATTTTACTGGAAATTCTTTTACCTCGTCTAATCTCATTTCATTAGACTCAAAATAAATTTCCTAAATAATTTGATTTAATATCATGACAACAGGATCATCGACCACGGGGACTGGGGGTGCGGGCTCCCCCGGCGCGGTCCCCGGTGCCGTGGTCCCCGGGGGCGCGGCCTCCGGAGGTGCGGTCCCTAGGCCGGCCGTGTGTGTCTGCGACGTCGGATACTACGGTAACTATGGCACTGCGTAACGGTACTCTGAGCTCTTCCACACAACACCATATCGAAATGTAGGATTTGTAAGTTTACGTCACTTGTTCAAGTTAAAGATTTAGAGTTAAGTCAAAGACTTTAATACATGTCTGCAAATTAATCAGTAATATTAATGATTTTTTTTACGTATTAATAATTAATAACCATTGCGTCGATTCGTCACTGAGAAGGGGCGGCGCCACGCTCGGGACTCGCTCGATACACAACAAAATAATTACTAATTGTTATTAACCAAGTTATTACGATATACCAATTATACATAACAAGTGAGTTTTCCTCTATTGCCTCTATCCTGGATCGTCCTGCTCCCAGGAGCGGCGGGCCTGTCCCCGAACTGTTCCCGGGCGGAGTCAGCGTGCGAGGCGGGCGTGTGCCTCAACGGCGCGTCGTGCGAGCAGGGCCCCGACCACTTCAACTGCTCGTGCGCGCCCGGGTACCGAGGTGCGTGCACTACTGCTCGACATTAGAGGCATGAGGTCGGATGTCTATTGTATTATTGAACGCTAAAAGCCGTAAGGAGTTCTAATGTAATATAAATCTATCTGACCGCTTCTGGATTAAGATTTTTGACTTAACGCGATCGCTTGATCTGTGGACTATAGATATGTAGACCCCAATAAAAAGACTTGACCACATACGAAGAGTTAAAAAGAATCTTATGCAGTGAGTTTCCGCTGGCAGGTCCGTACTGCGAGATGGGGGGCAGGGCGGCGCCCGACCCGCAGCCCGAGCGCTGCGCGGCCGGCCCCTGTCTGCACGCCCTCAGCTGCGTGGACCTGGTCGTGAGTGTGCCCCCTACTGTTCCCTTGCTGCCCTCTGCCTACCCCCTTGTTGCTTGAGGTTGTCCATTGGTATTCAGGTGTTTTCAGTGTGCGCGAAATGCTTCATAGCATACACGCATAGATTTAAAAAAAACTATTATTATTTAGCACAATATTAATATTGAAAAACAGCAGCTAATATACCATTCATTATTTCTGCGCATAAAAATTTGATTTAATTGAAAATGTTAATGTTAATTGCTAACACTTTCGAAGTGTTCTTCAATCTTAACGTTTGCACGAGGTGGGTCGCGCGGCGAACATCATGAACAATTTAAATAATTGACGCTAAACAATTCTTTTCTTTCTTTTTAAAGTTCGATGTGTGTGAAATGTATATAAAAATCATATTGCAATTAAGAGAAAATTAAACTCATGAAATATGTTTATAGTGTTAAACTCTGTTTTCAATAAAATGTAGATTTTTTCTTTGAAGATCGATAGATAATATTTATAATTTATTGGACATCCCAGCTTAGGCTATTGTTTTATTTTTTGTATATTTATTTATTGCTAAGACGGGTGGACGAGCTCACGGCCCACCGGGTATTAAGAAGTCACCAGAACCCATACACATCAACATCATCACGTAGACGCTGTCATCCGTCCTGAGACATGAGATATAAGTCTCAGTTTTTTACCGTACAAAGTCTGCCGCATATTTCAAACCGAAACGCATTACTGCTTCACAGCAGAAATAGGCGGGGCGGTGGTACCTACCCGCGCGAACTCACATGAAGCCCTACTACCAGTAATTGTTTGGATCAGAGTCCGGTCGACACAGTAACTAATAAATATAATGAATGTTCGGTACAGTCGGGAGGGTTCCGCTGCGAGTGCGAGGCGGGGTGGGGGGGCGCGCGGTGCGAGATGTGCGAGGGCGGGGAGGGGGGCGCGTGCGAGGACTGCCGCTCCGTGCCCTGTCCGCAGCACCAGGTACCCCACCGCACGCTACTGCTCGTTACAACTACACTGCGCTACGCCAAATGTCAAATAGCTTACATTGAGTCCACTTTATATCATTACTAATTACTTGCCACTATCTCAAAAAGCGTTATCTATATATATAAAAAGGAATTACTGTTTTTTTTTATTGCCCTTGTAGGCAGACGAGCATACGGCCCACATGATGGTGAGTGGTTACCGTCGCCCATGGACTTCAGCAATGCCAGGGGCAGAGCCAAGCCGCTGCCTACCGCTTAATACTCTCCACAAGCCTCGTTTGAAGAAGGACATGTCATAGCGCCCCTACAAAAAGTTGTCATGTTATGATGGTTTTAACTTAATTTGATAGACAAAGAAATATTGTTTCATATTCAGAAAACGATTTTTATATTCTCACCCAGGTTTAAGAGAAATCTGTTTTTTTCTGCCGCTAAAATTAAGTCGTTTATTGTTTTCTTCGACATCAATAATCGCTCTCATAATTGGCTACAGTGTTAAATAAGTTAATTTGTGGTTAATGTTGCTAGAAATAAGCCCTTATGTAAATTTTATTATTATTATATCCTCATAATAATAATAAAATGAAGGTGGTTTCTGAGAATGGACTTTATTGACCCTTCTTTCGGAAATGAAAATCCGGAAGCCGGCAACGATATTGTTGTTGTTAAATTCGCCAATAGGCAGGTAAAGAGCGTAGCCTATACAGCCTAGTCCGTCGTAGTTATATTATTTTCATGTCAATAAAAAGCCGGTGTATCTCTTTTTATTACTTTTTGGGAGTTTTGACGTCAACTCGACGAATACCACATTGACTGAGCGTGAGTTTCCGCAGACATTTTATCTTGAAAAAAAAAAAAAAAAAAAAAACGGTCGCTGCTCTGTTAGCCAATTTTATTCCAATGCCTCAATAATCGTGAACAATTATTATTGACGTTTAATACACAAAACAACACCCAATTTATATATTATAGATCACATTAACTATTAAGAAAACATTAAAATAAAACTTCAAGTGACGCTTCACTCGGGTTGCTGCCAAAATTCTCTGACCATAGATAATAAGAATAAGTAATGGTGGGCCATTGAGATTTTTACTAATAGAATCATTAATGTCTAAAAATATTAAATAATTCATGGTTTTAAGTAATAATTATTATTACAATATATAAATATTGAATTGAACAAAAATAAACTAAAAAAATCTGTGAATTATAACCATTAGCTATTTTTTTTTTATTTGTTGTTCAAGTCACAGACAACTCTTTCGTTTGGCAGCTTTTAGGTTTACTATAAAGCTGTATGGGCTAAGCCCTTTGTCTGCCTATTGGTAAATTTAAAAACTATGGTACTGTTTTCGGATAATTAACGGAAATCGGAAAAAGGTAATTTATTTTTTGTAAAACAATGCCAGGGTGAAAGAAATGTTGATACATAAACTAAACAACGTGAAAAAAAAAGGAATACTTTTTCAAGTACAAGTTTTGACACAAATTTGGCCCACTTTTGGGCATTGTCCTTTATTTTTCTTTTGATGTGTCCCCCGTCGGACGGATTCCTTTTGTTTGTTTTAAGTTTATTTTATACAAAAGTTTAGGTATTTTATTTATCGATTGAGGCACTACGAAGTCTGCCGGGTCAGCTAGTATTCAATAAAAATGAACGTATATTGTTCGTTTGTAACGGGGCCGGGGGACCGCAGGAGTGCGTGGAGTCTGGCGGCGCGTACAGCTGCGCGGCGGCGGAGGGCGGGGGGCCGTGCGGGGGGGCGCCGTGCCACAACGGCACCTGCACGCCGCTCGACGCACAGCACTTCACCTGCGCCTGCAGCCCCGGATACAACGGTAACTACATTACGTCTCCATCGATCTCGAGGGACACTTAAACGTGTTGAATTAAAAAAGAAAAGCTAATATGTAATAAACCTAATTTATTTAGTCTTTTCTTTACATGAGTCGACTATTATCAAAGCCGGCAATCTGACTTTTGGACAATGATTGGTAAATCAGAAAAACGAATTATTGATTTTGTATTCCATTGGCAGTCACAAAACTCTTCGGAACGACATCTTAGATAAATAACAGGTTAACTATTAACCTTTATTTAATGCAGGTTTTGAACCGTATTCTTTGAAGGAGACGATTATATTCAAATCAATCTGTATTGACATATCAATAATTTTTTTTGTCCAAATGTACAGATTGCCACCTTTGATAATAGACGACTCACATATGCATGTACAGGTATGACATTGGTGATTCAAACCTAAATCAGTTTACGAACATTGTATATATAATACTACAAATAAAACTAATATGCATTTGTACTTTTTTTACAAAAAAAAAAGTCTGGAATTGCAAACTTGCACAGTAAGTACCAGGATTAACCGGATTTGTATACCTTAGTTTATTTGTCTTCAGAAAACGTTTTCCCGACCATGTAAGCAGGTGTATCTCGGACTCGCTTTCCTTTTATATTTACAGCATATGGTAACAGGGAAGGGTATCTCTTATGTATGCCTCTACCTTCGGGTGTCCAAGCCCTGACCTTGCACCTGGCTCCCTTTCGAGCAGTGAGAGACACCCACCCTATCGAAGACAGCACTATGTCCCCACAACAAACTCTAAACCCTTCACCGGTGAATTCAAAAAGTTCGACCCGTTTAGTGAGCCCCGGCCAAGTATTCAGTCTTTCTTCACCTCCTGAGGGCACAGCAAATAATTCTGTACCCAAAAACTTGTCGTATATCTCATTGGCGTATTCAGTATTAACCACGGTGATAGGCAGAGTCTCGGAGGAAAATATCGTATACCGACACGGCTCGCAGCTGGTCACGTGGTCGATCCTCGCCAAACCTCCTATAAAAATCGTATTGCCTTTATGAATGTAGTAAGTCTGCGGCCTGATTAATCTCTTCGGAATAGTCAGCAGCAGTTCCTCGGTACTCAAAAGCGAGAGCACTTGGTCCGGGTGAATGACCCCTGGTGTATCGTAAAACCATCGACTTCGAGCGAACAGTTCGTGTTTCTCGTCCAGCACCATCAAATTCCGTTTTTCAGCTATCGTATCGTTCGGATCTTCGTGTAGTTCCGAGAATGTACGACCGATGTGCCCTATGAGCGCCGGAGCCTCTCTCGGGACTTGCCCGTGCAACTGCCCCTTACGTATATCCTTTTCGATTTTCATAATTTTTGACTCAGATTGAAGCCTTCTTGTTCTCTGATATATTTTCCAGCCCGAGGGTCTGTTGATGGGAAATTTCAAGAGATTGAGTGTGGTTCCAGGCCATCTACTCACAGTAGCTCTTTTGATGATATCTACGGCATGGACTTTGCAGTAATCGGACTGAAGAAGAGCATTAAATAGTGAACTTTTCCCTACATTGGTAGTCCCCACTAAGAATACATCGCCCTTGTAAAGCCAGTTTTTAAATAATGCAGAAATTAGATCTTCTACTCCATAGCCAGTTTTGGCAGAGATGAGTGCCACATGTTGGATATTGGCTTCACTGAGTTTGGTTTTCTTCAGCTCTGTGATGAGAGATTCTCTGATTCGCTTCAGGTAGCCTACACTGTCGCCTGGGAGGAGATCCACCTGGAGAATATANAAGAATACATCGCCCTTGTAAAGCCAGTTTTTAAATAATGCAGAAATTAGATCTTCTACTCCATAGCCAGTTTTGGCAGAGATGAGTGCCACATGTTGGATATTGGCTTCACTGAGTTTGGTTTTCTTCAGCTCTGTGATGAGAGATTCTCTGATTCGCTTCAGGTAGCCTACACTGTCGCCTGGGAGGAGATCCACCTGGAGAATATACCATAACCGAAAATTTATCAATTTTCCTAGTGGTAGGGAGAGTTGTAAGCCACCTTACTATCGATCAGTTATGCATTCTGGTTTGAAGGGTGGGACTGCTGTCACACAATACAACTGAGGCTATGACTTCATATCTCAAGTTCGGTGAGGGTGGGTGTGGGTTATGATAACTATGAACTCCTGTGACAACTTAACACTAGGTGAAACTGGAGCTTTTTCTGTTATCTAAACAATTCAGAAATTAGTTTATAGTTTGTTATTATTTATTACATACAGAACAAATACAGCATAGTACAGGAAGAGGTATGTGAAGTCAGTCTACTAGATCAACAGGGCCACAACATGAATTCAGATTCGTTTCGGCATTACTTCATTCAAGACAAGAATTTGCACATTGTTTCCATAGTGCTTCTAGTGTTAAACAGGAAATGTATCGGTTATTACCTTGTTTCCAACGACAATGATGGGTCTTTTTGTACCTATGATGTCCACAATACCAGGCCACAATGAACATGGGAAGTCCAGTAGGTCCACCATTAATAAAACCAAAGACTTTACATGCCTGAAATAAACAAGAATTTTAGTTCAAATTTTAACTTAGATCATATACTTGTATTTTATATGTGTACTTTTCTTTGGTGTGTGTATGTTTGTGTGTGTGTGTGTGTGTATGTACTTCTATTTTGTGAGTGTATATACTTGTATGCTGAGTTCATAATATATGTATTTATCAACACCCAAATTGCTTTTTGCAGGAAAATTTACATTTCAGTAAACTATAATAAAGATTTTGATTGTTTAAAATCATTATAGATTAAATTAGTAAAATCTCTCTCTCTCTCTACTTGCTTCATGGACCGTTATCTAACAATTATAGCTATACAATAACAATTGAATACCTTGGATGAGATGATCATTGGCACATGTTCAATGAAATATATTATGATTGTTGTTGTAGTTTATGCACTTAGTACGAAATCCACTCGGCATTGCAAGTAATAATTAAATCAAGCTTTAACACTAGTGTCATGAAAAATACTTCAACAATTTATCTCCTATTTTATTCATACCCCAGTCAAAAGGGATGAAAAAAGTGTATTTGAAGCATTGGAATGAAATAATAGAAAATCAAGATTGAATGACATACATATGTATGTAATCTTCTTATATATGATTATGTATGTTGAGTTTATAGTGCATAGCAAAATATTACAAACTATCTGAATCAACAGACATTGTACTGTTAAATTTAAAATCAATTGCTGGTATTATTTTTAGAACCCTTTTTTAAATTTCCTGAGTAATTTTTTTATTTTTTTTTATTGCTTAGATGGGTAGACAAGCTCACAGCCCACCTGGTGTTAAGTGGTTACTGGAATCCATAGACATCTACAACGTAAATGCGCTACCCCCCTTGAGATATAAGTTCTAAGGTCTCAGTATAGTTACAACGGCTACCCTACCCTTCAAACCGAAACACATTACTGCTTCACTGCAGAAATAGGTGGGGTGGTGGTACCTACCCGTGCGGACTCACAAGAGGTCCTACCACCTGTAATCAGAATTCAGAATTTATTTCAATAAAAACATTACTAGAACAATTATGGTATGAATATTATAAAATTTCAATAAAAACATTACTAGAACAATTATGGTATGAATATTATAAAATACTCAGTCTGTTTTTGAAGTAATGTGCTTACAAACAAACAACATTCAACTTTTATTTATGTTATTCATTTGAAATAGGTCTTAAAAATGTATTTATGTATTATATTATCTTGAATTTTACTTGGGCTTTCATCATGTATTATAAAGATGAAAATACAGCACAATAATTATTATTTTATAAAAGGTATAAAAATTTATATACTTAATAGACTGTAGCAGTTTCTCATACTCTTCAGGATCGACACTGACATCCAATGCAATATTGTACTCCTTTAAAAAATGACATCGCTGACACTCTATAGTTTTTAGTTCATCATTATCACGACCTTTGAAAATCTCACTTGGCAAGTATCCAGGTATGGCAGGGTCACTACAGTGTAAGAGAGCACCACAACCTCCACATGGTACTGTTGATACAGCTGCCAGAGGGTCGGGAGTACCATAATAGGAATGCCATTCATTATTCACTTCATCATTGTCTTCAAAATCTTTATATTTAGTATCATCAAAATATTCATAATTTGTCATCCATTTTTCAATACCGGATCTATTAAATTCTGCTTCCTTATTTATTTCTGCATTAGCTTCATTTATTTTTTGTATTTTTTCCTCATTTTTTCCTAGGCCCACATTTGTTGGTTTTCCAAAAGGTAACTGGAACACATTTTCACTATTAGGCTGATTTTCAATTAAATCATCTCTGAGTAACTTGTCTTTGTCGACATAATACTGCAGTGAGACTGGTATTGGTTGCAGGGACTTCTCCCTAAATTCCTTTATGTGTTGCCTCTGTGCACTTTTTAATGTTTTTAGGTAATACTTGAAGTAACCGAGCTCCAATTTCTCATGTTCCAAGTATGAATTGAACGTAATTTTGTCTTTATATTCTTGTAGTAATGATGCGAACTGTTTATTTTTATTTTGTTTCCGCTCACTTTCTAACTTTTCAGCTGCACTTGTGTGATTTACACATCTGTTTTGTAAAAAAATACATCTTCGACATAACCTCAATATATTATTCACTGAATGAATCATTATTATGCGAAGCAGTTTATATTATACATTTATATTGCCTATTGGTACATTGTATATGCATAATTATACACTTGATAGCTGGAATTTCATTTTACAAAACGACAATTTACAATTACTACACATCGGCCTCTGCACTACAAGAAACTGACATTTGATAAATTTGATTCGCTAATGTCATTTAAATTTTGAATTTGACAGATGAAGCAAAGTTATATTGTCTATAGTGCCTAACGAATAAGATGAATAATGGATACATAACAAAACCGGTTTTTAGTAATCCAAGAAAGAACAATTCATAACAATGTTTTATGAGAATTATTGATTAAAATACATTCTTTTGTAATTGAATATCTATACAATACAGTCTCGAAGAGTATGTCATCAATTATCTCACCTTGACGTCCCCTCTCATTAATGATGTATTATTGCAGCCGGTTCACTATTGGAACAACACTTGAGTAAACTGATTGTGAAATATGTGCAAATGAATTTAACTTTGAATCGTTTCGACGTTATAATTGTAAATTTAATAACTTAATTAACTTAGCACATACTAACATGGCACACGTAAAATTGGTTTTCATGTTTTTGTTTGTCAAAGGTAAACTATTAAATAATTTTTGAAATATTTTTATATAATTTATCATTCACAAGTAATTGTTTTTTAGGTAGATATTGTGAGACAGACGTTGACGAATGCGCCATGAAGCCTAAGATATGCAACAACGGGGTTTGTGTGAACACACCAGGCTCCTACCAGTGTTATTGTAGGCCAGGTAGGTGTTGCAATTTTTTTTTAAAATCCGTCTGATATCAGTTGATTTATGCATATTTGTTCGTGCAGGATATACGGGCGATAGCTGCGAGCAAGACATCGACGAATGTCTCTCGTCGCCGTGCAAAAACAGCGGCACATGTCAGAACTTGGAGAATAATTACGAATGCGTTTGTATGGAGGGCTTTGAAGGTTTGTTTATTGTGTATATTATTTATTAATTTTAGAGAAAATGGTAGCTATTTAGAGTCGGATTACTTAACTAACTAATATAGTATTATTGTTTTTGTTTTTTTTTTTTGTTGTTACAAATGTTTATCTGAGATATAGTATTAAGTGAATTTAATAGATACCACAGATTAAGTTCAGGTTAATTATTTCCACCGCACGGCTATATTTTACGAGCTTTGTTCCTCGATACCAGAGTCTTACTTCCCTCTAGTGCCGAGCTGTCGGACCCTCGGCAGAACTTGTCGTCTCCTACGCGGTTGACGGAAGTGCCTGTCCGCCAGTCTGCGCAACCATTAACCTTCGCGTTGTGGCCGTCAGGTAAAGATTGTTCGGTCAACATCGACGAGTGCGAGGCGTCCCCGTGCGCGGCGGGCTCCACGTGCGTGGACGGCGTGGCCTCCTACTCGTGCCAGTGCCAGGAGGGGCTCACCGGCCCGCGCTGCGAGGTCGACATCGACGACTGCGAGGTGCGTCCCGCCACTTGTATTTATACTTTGCTTAATTAGGCCAGGTGCTGCTGACCTGGGGCGTAGGACGAAGCAGGGGTCGGGCACCCCTCGCTCAGGACGGAGCCCTTGTCTCCGATATTCACTTTGTGATGTGTTTTGATAACTAGTTATTATTAAGTGAACCGTCAATTAGTCTACTTAACAAGAACAATTTAATGTCCTGAACATGTTACAAGATGCAACACGACCGGTATTCTCAGTTGATACATTGAGTTGACAATTACTGACACAGTCGCAGCCGTGCCAGCACGGGGGCCGCTGCGTGGACGCGCTCAACGGCTACAGCTGCGAGTGCGGCGGCACCGGCTTCACCGGCGACGACTGCTCCGTCAACATCGACGAGTGTGCGCCCGCGCCTTGCCGCCACGGAGCCACCTGCGTGGACGAACTCAACGACTACCGCTGCTCCTGCCACCCCGGCTTCACCGGTGAGTGTCCGCCCGCCGGCCGCGCCCCCCCCTCGGCGCCGACTGACGTGCAGCGTTGTCGCCAGGCAAGAACTGCGAGGTGGACATCAACGAGTGCGAGGGCGAGCCCTGCAAGTTCGGCGGCGTGTGCCTGGAGCGCAGCAACGCCAGCCTGTACCTGGCGCCCGACGCGCCGCCCGTGCTGGTGGGCCCGCACGACGCCATGCTGCTGCCGCCCGCCTTCTACCAGCCCTTCGCCATCGACGACGCCAGCGGGTGAGTGCGGCTACATGGCGGCTACATGGCGGCTGCGTGGCGGCTACATGACTACACGGTGCGCTGCCGCAGGTTCGAGTGCGTGTGCGTGCCGGGCACGGCGGGCGCGCGCTGCGAGCTCAACATCGACGAGTGCGCGTCGTCCCCGTGCGGACACGGCAAGTGCGTGGACGGCGTGGGCTCCTACTCCTGCGACTGCCTGCCGGGCTACGAGGGGGACCACTGCGAGATCGAGATCGACGAGTGCCAGAGGTACGCTTTAATTGGGGGTCGAGGTGTAAGCTTCCTTCAAAAATGTTCGTGATCTTTAAGCAGACCAGATCTAACTTTGAACTGTCTCGCAGACTTGGTCGTGTCTCTGCAGTCGGTTCTCTGAGCCGAGGCTCTAATAATTAAATACATTTAGGATAAATTTAGACCTGAAAGAAGAAGAGTCTGAAGACTATACAATTTGTGCTTGTCTAGACCCGCCCAAGGTGTGGTAATAGAATTATACATCAGAGTTGAATGAAATTTTGGGAGATGGGACAATGGCCTTACGTTTGGACTCGATCGACTCTCGTCCCCTTGCACAAAACGGGTTCTACCAATAATGTGAGAACTACAGAACATTCACTCATACCTCACGCCAGCAAAATCCTCTTGCGCGGTACTAACGCCAGATTAGCAGCTCGTGTATACCATAGTTGACACCGAGGGCACACTGCGGCTTGGTTCCCGGAAAGGGCACTCGTGAACGAAGTTTGAACATTCACATTGTTATTGAGAAATTTCGTAAACTTAGTAAGCTTTTGGTTTTGTGCTTTTTGTTTTCTCCATTGAACATTAACAGTGTCAGTAGACACCTGCAGCTTCAGAACTAGCAGCGGGCACAGGGACCACGATAACCGTACTCGTCGAACTCTATGAAGAAATCGACGTGAAACCCAACCCATACATCAGGCTGCTAAGTTTCTCGTCTGATCTTCTTAGCCGATTGTGATTCTGTTCCGGTAGTAGATGTATTTGCGAAGCAGTTCGTGGCTGAGCCCTGGCTCGCCCACATGTTCCTCCTTCATATATGAAATAGTTGCGTTGTTGATGTGAGTGGGCGGCTGCGGTGTGAGCAGGTACCAGCCGTGCGCGCACGGGCGCTGCGTGGACCAGCGCGCCACGTACCACTGCTCGTGCTCGGCGGGCTGGGGCGGCCGGAACTGCTCCGTGGTGCTGCAGGGCTGCGCCGCGCAACCCTGCCGCAACCAGGGCTCCTGCCACCCCTGGCTGCGCGACGAGACCGAGCACCGCTTCAACTGCTCCTGCGCCAACGGCTTCTACGGCACCACCTGCGAGAAGGTCGACACATCTTATTCTATTGCATGAACTAGTGAACGAGCGCACTGCCTGTTTGTGTGTGAATTGTACATTCATTACGCCGATTGATTTTAGCGGGTTGAATTTTAATAACACAATATTACTCCTTCACTCGGCAACACGAAAAGTTCGTTCAAAACAACGAGCCTGAGTCTGATCTGCATCAATATCAGAATTATTTGTATGTAGGACGCATACAGGACTTACCGTATACATGTATCGCTAGATCGCTACTAAAACGAAACAATAACAGGTAGTATGTGAGCGGAATTGTAATGGCCAACAGATCACCACCATGTCCCTGGAGAGGAGCAGCTACGCGGAGGTGAACACTTCGCGCGAGGAGGGCTACGACATCTCGTTCCGCTTCAAGACGACGCTGGGCGACGGGCTGCTGGCCATGGGCATCGGCCTCACCTACTTCTTCCTCGAGCTGTCCAACGGCCGCCTCAACCTGCACTCCAGCCTGCTCAACAAGTGGGAGGGCGTCTTCATCGGCTCCAACCTCAACGACAGCAACTGGCAGAAGGTCTCACCTTGCACCACACTACGTTAAATGAAACTGATTCAATGTACTATTTATTGATGAACATTAGACTCCGCTATAAAGGATACTATCGAAACAAAAATAAATCAGGTAACCAACCCGCCGCGTACTGAGCCCATGGACAGCGAGAGCTCGAAGCCTTCGTTGCGCCAATGATCTTTACACGCAAAGTGTTGTCCCGCTGGGGGCCCGCGACGACCCAGTTCATCCCTGCCGCAGGTGTTCGTGACGATAAACTCTTCGCACCTGGTGCTGGCTGCCAACGAAGAGCAGACCATCTACCCCATCAGCCAGATCGAAGCGTACAACTCGTCGGTGACGTCGTTCCCCACCACGCGGCTCGGGAGGGCCGGCTCCTCCTTCGCGACCCTCACCCACGGACCTGACTTCTTCGTCGGCTGCTTCCAAGATGTCGTCGTGAACGGACAGTGGGTCAGTACGCAGACTGTTATGGTTATGATGTTACATTGTCCACATGTAACCCTACAACTGTGCGGCGTGTAACGTGTGCGCCGCCCCAGGTGCTGCCGGAGAGCGGAGAGGGCGAGGGCGAGGGCCCGGTGTGGCGCCTGGCGGGCGTGACGGCGGCGTGTCCCCGCGTGCCGCAGTGCCAGCCCTCCCCCTGCCGCTCGGGGGGGCGCTGCCACGACCACTGGACCTCCTTCCTGTGCACCTGCCCGCGGCCGCACCTGGGAGACACCTGCCAGTACAGTACGTACCTCGCCGACCCCCCCGCCCCCGACCCCCCCGACCCCCCGCGGCGACCCTTGGTGACGCGCTCCCTCCCGCAGACTACACGGCGGCGACGTTCGGGCACGAGGCGGCGCGGCGCGGCTCGGCGGTGCGCGTGCTGGTGGGGGAGGCGGCTCGGCGCGCCGTGCTGGCCGCGCTCGACATCTCCATGTTCATCCGGACCAGGAAACCCACCGGACAGATCTTTTACTTGGGCTCTCTGCCAAGGTACCATATTTTTTTAAACCAAAAACTTACAAATTATAAATCATTAAAAATCGAATAACATTAAAGAGAAAGAAAAAGGTTGACAAATCATTTAAACTATGACAGCCCCCAGGGGCGGTCCCAGCGGGACCCCGGGGCACGGCCTGTCCGCATTTAGTTTTAGTACAATTAATAACCTAGCCTCTTTCAATATTGCGGAATAGTTGATAACCACGGAATAGGCACGTGTTTGTGCCCATGGGGTCGGCGCGGTCCCCGTGCGCGCGCGTTGTACAGAGCCGTGCTGTGTGGCAGGTACGGGCAGACCGAGGAGACGCAGGTGGGCGCCTCGCTGTCCAACGGCGAGCTGCTGGTGCACCTGCGCTTCAACCAGACCCCGGAGAACTACACCGTGGGCGGCACCCGCCTGGACAACGGACACCTGCACCTCATCGAGGTAACCGCGCCGGTGGTCGTCAGCCTGTTCATGGTCGCGTGGGACACCCACTGCGGCTCCGCTCTGCTCTGGGCGTTGCTGATGTCCGCGAGCGAGTGTTGCGTTCTTGTTTTAAATTTTTTTATTTGCTGATAACATTTTAAATAACCTTAAAATTTACGAACAAAATCATACTAAAATCAGGTACAGCTCCAGCAGAAGGTACAGCTCCTCTCCAGGTTAAAATAACAGTATTATAAATCTGAGATCCTGTTGGTTGGCAGGTGGTCCGCAACTCGACGTTAGTGCAAGTGAAGCTGAACGGCACCGAGTACTTCAGGAAGTCCATATCGGGCGCCAAGCAGCTCGACGCGCAGGTGCGGAGCTGACCACGGACTCTGCAACACAGTTCCGTTACAACACCTGCGGACGAGCGATAAACAAGTGTATTTCTTGCAGGTACTTTATCTAGGCGGGCCCCCTCCCGCCCCGGAGCCCCCGGAAGCGGCCGCGCTAATCGCGTCGCCCCCCTCTCCGTCTCCACCCCCCGCCCCGGCCTCCTCGTCCAGCTCGCCGCCCGTGACCCCGCCGCCCGCGCCGCCGGCCCCCTCCACACCCCCGCCCCCGCCCCCGCCGGTCCCCACGTCCGTGCTGACGGCCCTCACCTCCACGCCGCTCCCCACCGCACCCCCCGAGGAGGAACCCGATGATTCAGCTTACTTCAAAGGCGTCATTCAAGACGTTCAGGTATGTTCAACGTTCTATTAAACTTTTTGCTTTAAATTCAGAATTTACACTTTTAACTCGAGCTTCTGTTAACCGTGCCGGGTGCTGATTGTGACCCGGTGTAGTTGGGATCGCCATGACTCCGCTACACCGCACGCACCCGTTTTAAAAACAATTCATATAAGTTTACAATTCTGAAGTACGACAGACATACCGCGACATGGTTGTGGGGAGCGAGTCAGTGGATCGTATGTAGAATGGCGAGGAACTACATACACCAGCGACTGACCGGGCACTATACATTAGTCAATTTAAAAAGTGTGCCGGTTTCTGACAAGATCATCACTTACAACAAAGTGAACTCAAAACCATCCCACATACGTTTTACTCATCGATAAATTGAAATGTAATGATGCGATCGGAATTGGTTCAACTCAAACAGAGAAGTGTGCACGCACGTGCCGACAGCGCGCGTCGCGGCACGTGCGGGGCGGTGCGGCGCTCCAGCCTTGTGTTGGGCACGTGTCGGTGTCAGCACCCGGGACTAAATGTATATATTCGCCTGTCTATCGACTGCACAACATGCGCATACATGATATATGTAGCTGTACTATTTATCACTTTAATGTTTAAGAAATAGACGCTGTTAATCTGTATGCTGTATCGAATGAAAAAATATTAAGACAATTAGGAAATCTTTAATCATAAACTGATTTGTAGACATTCTAACAGCGCGTCTGTCGAATCGGTGCCGCGTGTAATACCCGCACGGACCGAACACATCTGTGACATAATGTGTAGGTATCGAACGGAGTCAACGTGACCATAGTGGAGTTCTTCCCCCTGCGAGTCCCGGGGCTGGAGCTGCCTCCTCCCTTTGGAGAAGTGTTCCTGCCCCCCGGGGGGGTGCTGCGCGGGGTGGTCTCCGACGACGTGTGTGCCTCGCAGCCCTGCAAGCACAACGCCACCTGCACCAACACTTGGAACGACTTCACGTAAATATTGCTGTAACCCCCCTCCCCCAACTCCTTTACAGCACTAACCATAAGTTTATAGTGATTGTGCTAATAATGACTTAAGCTTTAATTTTTTTAAGGGATTTAATGACCTGGTAACTAACACCTTTAAGTCGTGTCTTATTTTAATTTATATTCTTATTTTTATGAAAAATGATAATATGGAGTAAAATGAAATGAAGATGATTAATTTGGGACATTAATCGACTAGAATGAAATCAGATGATATAGGATGAAATATAATCTCAGTAAAATGGTGGTCATTTACTGAGATTTTTTCAATAGACTTGGACGATCCTAAGGGGCTACGTCTAGTGGTTTTGTTTCACTTTCCCAAATTTGTCCACTTTCACAGATATTAAACAGTTAATAATCCACCGTTATTACACATTTAAACCTGAAGAAACACTAAATAGACAAAATAAAACAAATCCCACAACTTGACTCCTCGCGTTCTCGCCAAAAAGTCAGCGTTGTGTCCTGTGCGACAGGTGCACGTGTCCGCGCGGGTACAAGGGGAAGCAGTGCGGCGACGTGGAGTTCTGCCAGCTGCAGGGCTGCCCCCCCAACTCGCACTGCAGGGACATCGACCAGGGGTGAGTCCAGTCTGGGGCATTATGGCGCCGTAGATTTGTCAGATTAAACTATTTATTTAAAACTTTTTATTCACTTTAAGTTTTATTTCTAATTATATATAATGTGTATGAATCGTAAAATTGTATTATGTACGTAGTTTCATATATAAAGTATCCTGGTGGTTGTATCGCAGACTGGAGTGCGTGTCCAACGCGACGTTCGACGGCGCCAACACGACGCTGACGTACCGCCTGCGCGACGCGCGCCCCGACCCCCTCGCGCGGCACCCCCTCCCGCCCCCCACCGACCTCACCATCACCTACAGGTACTGTCGGACCTCTAACTACTCATTATGCAAGCAATAATCAACTACATAAAAAAAATAATTATCAAATATAAAAAAAATCAATAGTTTTGTTAAATAAAACTTGTTTAATTTTGAAGGTATTATAGATTTAACTAAATTTAATCGCTAAGATAATTGTAAAACATTTTGACATGGGGTAAACTTAACAAATGGAGATATGAAAAAATTGCGGCCCATATTTTTCAAATTAAATTACGAAAATTTATTCTACATTTATTGAAATATTTTGTATTTACTTATGTTATTATAATAATAATTTCTTGATTGAGTTTTTGTTTTTTGTGTCAGGACAAAGGTAGGGGGCACATTACTGCGTGCAGAGAGCGACCCTTCGGAGGGCCAGGAGGGCTCGTGGTTCGCAGTGGGTGCGTACAAGGAGCGGGTGTCGGTGCAGTGGCGCCTGGACCCCCTGGGCGGTCCCCCCGCCGACCTGCCGCGGGCGTTGCGCATGACGGCGCCGCACTCGCACCTGCACTGGACCACCGTCAAGTTCACCTTCGACAGAGATCAGATCATAGGTCAGCGAGAAACTCCACTTTCTAATTATTGTAAAGCATTTTCGTCTGTCAGGAACCACCGCGCCCACACGTCGCCGGTGCTGCCAGGGACTTAGCTGCTTAAAGTTCACCCGTACAGTAACGTGAGCTATGTTCACTGAAGTCAGACGACGCTGTAAAAAAGCAGTAAGAGTGGGCAGACGTGCCCTATTGTACATAACTCTCAGACGGAGACAGGGAACAGTACCAAACAGGCATCGTCGTACTGACGTGTAATACAAAATAAATTGACGCCTGCTCTATATTATAAGACCGCTGCTAACAAGTTGTAGTTACACCGGCGGTCCCGCTGCAGGGTCCTTCGTGGAGGCGGACGGCGAGGAGCGCGTGGGGCTGCGCGGACACATCGACGTGGCGGCGTGGCAGCGCCTGGTGTCCGCGGGCCGCATCCTGCTGGGCGGGGGGGGCCGCGCGCCCGCCCCGCCCCCGCCCCCCACCCTCAACGTGCGTACCGCTCCCCTGTCCGCCGCACTCACGCTCTATTCATGCTACATTACGTTTCGTCGTCACGTAGATGGAGACGTCGACCGATCAGGCCTACGAGTTCACGGAGGGCGAGGAGTTTGCTGCCGATAATATAGAAGGGAAATACTTCAAGGTGGGAAATGTTAAAGACGTATAATCTTTATTTAGTTTCATTGCTTTGAACTCCCGTTAATACAAAGGTTCCTACGGTTGACAGAACAATAATTATCTCAACCGCGACCTTTGTCAATGGCCCATTAAATGTGTACTTGTATAAACGGGACATTTTGTGTTCTAATATTTCGAATTTCACCCCGAAATGTTTTTATGAAATGTATATTTAGTTAAGAATTATTTGTTATTTTATTCTGAATACCAGTTCGTAAAAATAATGACGTGTTTGGGGTTAGCGAGAGTGTGATTATCCGACGTCTGCCGGCAGGGCTGCGTGGGCGCCGTGCACGTGGGCGGACTGCTGCTGCCGTTCTTCACGGAGGAGAAGCTGTTCGTGGGCCCGGCCGCCGCGCTGCTGGCCGCGCAGCCGCACTACGCGCTCATGTAACCACCGCCCTGGCCGCCACAGCATAACCACAACTTGCATTGCATTTAGTAGTTCTGTTGTAGTCGGCTCAAAAAAAATTGTACAATTTTCAAATCACTGGGCTCGGTGCTATAAGAATTTGCTTCCGGACCCGAACAAATGTGTGTAGTCCAAATCCTCGTTCCATTGTAATACAAGTAGAGTGGTGCGGTCACAGTTCCGGCGTGCCGTGGGGCGCGGCGGAGGGCGTGGGCTGCGTGCTGTGCCTGGAGGCGGACTGCAACAACGGCGGGCGCTGCGCCGACGTGCGCTCCTCCTACTCTTGCTCCTGCCCGCCCGGGTACTCCGGAGACTACTGCCAGGTACCTGCCCCGGCCCCCCGCGCCCGCAGCGTGCGGCGGGGCCGGTGCTCACGCGGGTGCTGTTGCAGGTGGACATCGACGAGTGCGCCGCGCACGAGTGCCAGCACGGCGCCACGTGCCGCGACCTGGTGGCCGCCTACCGCTGCGAGTGCCCGCCCGGCTTCGAGGGGCAGCTGTGAGTGTCGCGCCAGTACACCACTGCGCGTTGCACGCGTGTACGGTAGCATAACGAATGTATCGCGGCCCGCAGGTGCGAGAGCGACATCGACGAGTGCACGTCGTCCCCGTGCGCCAACGGCGGCACGTGCGTGGACGCGCCCGGCGGCTACACGTGCACGTGCTCGCCGCAGTGGCGCGGGGACACGTGTCGCGAGCCGCGCGCCCGCACGTGCGCACACTCCCCCTGCGCCCCCGGCGCCGCGCGCTGCACGGACGACCCCCCCGGTGAGGCCCTCCACGCTACACTACACTATACGCATATTATGTATTATGTGACTAGACTAAATTAAAACTACATCAACTTGTATATGCGTACGTATATTTATTACAATGCAAAAATATCATAATTTAAACTTCACTGTGGATTGAGGACCTCTTCTTCTTAATTTGATATTGAAGAAAGAGGTCGAGAAGAAGGGGAGAAGTTGAAAAAAATTTCAATTCGACCTTGCTAAGGTACTTAACGTTATATATCAGACGCACCCCACTTCGATAAAGCGGCACGACACGAGAACCCTCTCATCGTGGCCGCCGGTAACTACATTCCCGATCCTGCGGACAGAATGGAAAGCAGTCGACGTCGCCCAAAACACGTCATCTCGGATCCTCCCGATCCACTAACGGTGCTTTTAGGTACTTCAAGCACCGGTCACCGTTCTCGTCGAACTCGTCACTTGCGACGAAGGGCTCAACGAGTAAATTAACCCTCAGACAGCCCACTCAGTTTCTCACCGAATCTTCTCAGTGGGTCGCGATTCCGATCCGGTGGTAGCTTGTGCGAAGCACGGCTCTTGCTAGAGTTCATGTTAGCAACGTCGTCAGGTTTGAGCCCCGCGAGCTCACCTACTATAGTAGAATTATTTTGTCCGTGCAGTTTGGGTCATAAAACATAGCCCGGCTAGGGCGGTGAGCATGTTGCGCGGGCGCAACGCCATTATCGATAAAAACAAATGAGTTATCGAAGGCAGGTACACAGCGGCGGGGTGGTATACGAAGGGTAGTGAGATATTGTTAGGTTATAAATAAATAAATAATAAATAAATATTTACTAACAATCACGCCACGTTAACTGGTCCCGTGATAAGATCGTAAAGAACTTGTGTTACAAGTACCAGATAACGGATATAAATGTAAGATTTATATTATACACATACATATATTTAATATACATCCATAACCCTGGAAAAGACATTTATATTTATCATACAAATATCTTCCCTTGGCGGGATTCGAACCCGCGACCCCCTTGTGTAGTGACCATGTCACTTACCACTACACCAGACGGCCGTTATGAGTTATTTGTACTTACCTGCAAATTATAGTACATTATGTCGAAGAGAAATGTGTTTTTAGGCATTCGTTATCTGAATTTCTTTAGTGACCTAATGGCTACTCCTTTGTTTTGTATCAACACGCAGAATTTATTCAAAATAATATTTGCACGTGTTGTTATCAACAATGTGTTAAAAAATTTCACTGAAATAAGAATAGTTCTCGAAAAGTTACAAAGTGTTAATTTTTGCCGTTCTCGTTAACTTGCTGCGGCGATATCTGGTGTAAGTGTTCGATTAGTGTTTTTTCTTTCATTTTTATCACTAACCCACAAAATGACAAAACTAAATACACTATCGATAACGCTTATCGACAACAATAATGCGCATCACTATGCCCGTCCATAAGGCTCGTGAGTGGAAGAGAGAGCGAAATACTCGCTGCACCGCTCCGATTTTTTATGACCCAAACTGCACGGACAAAATATCTCTACTATAGTTAAGGTTACGCTGAAATAGCCTCTCAAGGCTATCAGCTTAGGAAAAAAAAATCAGACGCATACATCTGCAGGTCGCGCGGTGCCCGATAGCGGCTCCTCTTCCTTCTTCATCTTCTATCTCTACTCAAATCCTTACGTCGATTAAAGTTTTATCTTTAAAAAGGGACGTTTTTGTTGCATTATGAAAAGTCACAGAAGTGAAGTTAACTGTAATAATATTTTATGATTTGGTTGTTTCCAGATCCTCCGACCGGGAACAAGTTCACGTGCGAGTGCCGGGAGGGCTACGAGGGCGTGTACTGCGAGAAGCCGTTCTGCGAGGTGACGCCGTGCGTGCACGGGGAGTGCCGCGCCGACGCGCAGGTAGGGGGGGGGGCGCCGAGACGTATGAACTGTGTCGAGCGCCTGTCGACATGCCGTGGTTACTAGTGGGTGTGGTTGCAGGGCGTGCAGTGCGCGTGCGCGCCGGGCTGGACGGGCGCGCGCTGCTCGGAGGAGCGCGACGAGTGCGTGGGCCACTGCCAGCACGGCGGCCGCTGCTACCGGGACTCCGAGCGCTTCCTCTGCGACTGCACCGCCACCGGTAACTGCACGCGCACGCACGCACGCACGCACACACACACACACACACACACACACACACACACACACACGCACACACCCACATATACACACACGTACGCACACACACTCGCGCGCACATATACGCACACACACGCACACACACACGCACACACACGCTCGCACACACGCACGACCCGTCTCCCCCTACCGACGAACGGAACGTGTCCTAGTGTCGCGGCAGAAGTAGGCAGGGCCGTGGTCATGTAGACATTTCTTTTAAAAATGAGGAAGAGATCAGGCAACTCCGGGATCGAACCTGGACACGTCTCCGGGCGTACGGTCGCCTTATCTAATGTTGTTTACTTCCATGAATATTTAAACATACAGAAATTTTTCTTTCATGAATATATTGGTTAATAAATATATTTACAGCTTGGTAATCAATATTTGAGGAATAATACATTTTGATTTCATCAAATAAAGAAACCTGCTCATAGTTGTAGATTTATCATTATACTGATCGATAAGGCGGCAGTTATCGCTGGCGGCCGCGCGCGGCTGATAGCAGCTGATAAACTGATAACGTTAACCACAAGCTCTCAAAGTTTTGCTCAAATAAAAATTCGCTCCAATAAAGGACCCACAAATTATTATCGGTTCCAATTTAGTTGTAATATATTTATTTCCTGGTCGGGTCGAGGAGGAAAACTAAGACGTTGCGAGGACGCGCGTAGTCACAATACATATATTACATAGTTGCTGATTCCGATACGTCATATTCGACGCTTGAAAGGCAAACGTGACTAAGCGACAATAACTACTTTGTACATAAATTATAGGCAATAACTATATTTGATGCGCAAAAAAACATGCTTCTAGGTCTATTAAAATCATTTCAAGCCTATAGCTAGATTCGTTAAGATAGATTTTTTTTCAGGTATTTCAACTTTAAATTAGTCTACTATAAAGTTCACGCATTGTCGCTTAGTCACGTTTGCCTTTCAAGCGTCGATATAAATAACATATATTAATGAAATAATTCCAAAGTTAAAATATGTAATATTAGTCAAACCAAAGTAACACTTCCCATAGTACAAGAATATTTCAAAATGACATATTTCTTAATCATTAATAAATTTAGTATTCTATTTTATTAGGATGTTTATAGCGGGCTTTATATTCCAATAAAACACCTTAGATATATGTTAATATCTTTCCTAAAGTAGTTCAGACTGTAGTTACGGCCTTCTAGAAGAGAGAAGTCTAGATCTTACTCAATCCCAATGCAAAGGGAGAGACGTTGCGCACTCGGATTAAATCAGTCTATTACCAGCTCTGATCACGAAGTAACGGAGCTCGCCATAGGAACTAGAGGGGCTCTGCTGCTGCCGTGACCACGTCACAAGTACGACAACTGGATATTAGACGATTGCGCCCCCCCGCGCTACCCACCCGTGTCCTCCGTAGCAGCCCCCCCCCCGACGCCCCCCGCGCACCCCGCCCGCGTGCGCACTTTGGGAGCCGCCAGCTCCGCGTCACCGTTGCCCGCGTCAGTTTGGTAAAGTGTGACACAACACTCTGACCTCTTAACACATATTTCCTGCTGCAAAAAGCGCTTGTACTCAATAAGTTTCGGAATTTTAGATTGTGACATCTAAAGAATTAATTATTGGATGAATTGGGATTAGGAGTGAAAAATGGTTTTGATTAATAAATTTGTTTCGTGATGTCAAATCAAAAATAATAATGACTACTGGAAATTTAAAAAGTACTTACAAATAAGTGTTAGATTTAGTAATGTTTTTAATAAAATCGAAATAAGGTTTGTGAGTGATGCGAATAATTGTGCAATGAACGTGCTATACGTGATGGAGAGGATAGTTGTCTTCGTGTTTGTGGCAGGTACGGACCCGCTCGGATTTGTACTGCGCTCCGCTATCTCATTACCTTAGCGTTAAAACATGAGCAAGCATCCGCGTCCACCCCGTGGACACGGTAACGAGCCGGCGCCGCCCGACTTGAGGCATGAGGTCGAACTAGAAATGCGCGTCTTGACTCATATTTTGAGTCTCACGAAAAACATAACGCTTTAGTCGATGAACAAAATCAAAATTAAAACCTTGTCAAACATACAAGTTAATCTGGTTGCGCTTCAACAGAGTCCGACTTAACTGACTGGAGTGAACTGTAATTATACAGGGTGTGATAATTTAATGTATTAATGTTACGTTGGTCTGCGATCACATGTCTATTTGTAATTATCACGATTTTGTTGTTTTATCGGTGTTAATTACAACTCATTATCGTTGCACTCGAACTTGTAAAATTAAGTAAAACAATACACAAAAGTCTCTAGAGTAACAAAAAATAATGCAGTTTGAGTGGGGTAAATAATTAGAATTAATAAATAAGGGTCGCCGAGCCATGACGAACCGGACGCCCACCACCGCTGACATATCTACTGACAATAGTAAACGCCAAATTAAATCTTAAAAGTAGTTTACATGTTATTAGCCGATTTTTTATCTGTTCATGGAGAAATTCGTTTTGTTTATAGAGTTATGTTCAGGTGAGCATTCAAACAAAGTCCTTCTAGACCCCCCCCCCGGTCGTGGACCCTTCAGCTCGTTCATATATATCGACATTTTTATCATTACAAAAATCAGACTTTCCAACAGAGTTATTTTATTTACTCCGATTACTCCACCGTGGAATATTATTTTTGGATATTGAATCCTTCGATAGTACATTAGGGCCTCCTCCTGCTATGGGGAAACCCGCTTTACTCGTGGAGGAATTGTCTGTGAGGGTCCCATTATTGGCTGTTTTTTTGTTTACGGACGTATCACCAGCCGCCGGACCCACTGCGCCCACCCATCGTGCGTTTCCAGGGGTCATTTTTGGCACGCACCAACCGGCTTTAGAGTTAGTGATGTAATTTTATTCTGACGGAGGATATTGTGAGCAGGGTGGACGGGCGCGCGCTGCGAGGTGGACGTGGACGAGTGCGCCGAGGGGCTGGTCAGCTGCGGGCCCGGGGACTGCCGCAACCTCAACGGGTCCTACACGTGAGTAACCACATAATATACGCTAGTTGTTTGTTGTCTTCTGAAACCAGTTCAACCTTAGATCTGCGCGACCTCCCACCCGCTGTACTACCATCAACTGTTTATTTTCATAGATAATCTTTTTACTGAGCCGTAGGTGGGAAGGTGTACAAAGAAATGGAAAATATTACATCAAAACGACTTCGTCATAAAGTAATTTTGAAGGTTCAGTGGGGGTGTGGGGGTAGGGGACGGGGCGGGGTAATTTTTGGTTTTTAATGGAATAATATTGAAATTTTATCGGTTGGTCGAGCGGCCGCCTCCTCGCGTGGCACTTACGGTAGATTGGATGTTGTAACACGGCGTTGTGTGCGCACAGCTGCGTGTGCGGGCGCGGCTACTGCGGCGCGGAGTGCGCGCTGGTGGACCCGTGCGGCGCCGAGCCGTGCCAGCACGGAGCCGTGTGCGAGCAGCGCTGCGCCCGCGAGCCCGACTACGTGTGCCGCTGCACCGACGGCTGGGCCGGCAAGAACTGCACGCAGCAGGTTCGTTATAATACTGTACATGCCCTGCGGGGAACCCCCGCCCAAATTTTGGTGAAAAATTCTTATAATGACATGTAGTGTTGTACTCTTTATTTAACGTGGAATTGAATGCTGCCTCACTCACAGGCCGTGGCGGAGGGGTCGGAGGGGACCAGCGACAACTCATCGGCCGTGCTGCTGGGGGTGGGGGGCGCGCTGGTGGCACTGGCGCTGGCGGGCGGCGCGCTGGGAGCTCTGGGGGCGCAGGCCCGCCGCAAGCGAGCCACCCGCGGCACCTACTCCCCCTCCGGACAGGAGTACTGCAACCCTCGCGCGGAGATGCACCACCACGCGCTCAAGCCGCCTCCCGAGGAGAGACTTATATAGCGCCGGGAGGTACTCGACTGATGTAATGAGAACCAGTTCTTTGGTAATTTACTAAGATTTCAGTGGAGTTTTTAGTACAACACGACAAGCCGCGCCCGGCCACTGTGTGCCCACCCTCGGGCACTTCCACATGTGCTATGAAATCAATACGCTCCCGATCGCACGTTTAAATCTGAAGAAATAACCAAATGAAACAATCCGCATGAGCTCGCTCCTCGCGCCCCTCTATCCCCCCGGGGAGAGGGGGACGCGGCGGGTCCCCCTCAGTGGCGAGGCGCACTGTCGGGGCTCGGACCCCCAATATTAAATGTACCGTATTTTTGTTCCTAACAGCCCAGCTCGCTGACGAAAGGAAACAAGGAACTAGCCCGTGACCCGTGACGTCACCGCCGCGCCCGGCACACGCGAGCTTCTCAATCTTTAGCTTTAAGAAGAAATGGTAGCTTTTAATTTAATTGTGTACTTAATGTTGTAACCGATCGAGCAGTGTTGCCAGTGTGAATTGGGTTACCAGGAATGAAATAGTTTTGTTAATTTATTAGATCGTTCGGCTGGCAACACTGCTGGCTGGCGTACACGACGTGACGACGTACAGTCCGACCCGAATTAGAATATTTGGAGAATGTTAAGTTATACATTCCGACTGAACCAGCGGCTGTTGGCTGGCGGTCAGTCTCGCAAGTGATACCTCGGGGGAGTGTCGTATATTAATGAAATAATGCGGGTGTTTACATTCCAGAGATAAATAAAACATTTCATATATTTTAAGAATGAAATTGAATATTTACAAAAAGCAATATTTACACAATAAAAACGTTTTAATTGGTATGTGATTGTAAATGCAATAATTTTAAGTACTTAGTTTTTAAGTAAATTTTAACTCAAATTGATTTGAATACGTCCGAGTGCGGGACGTCGGCGGGACGTGGCGTCCGACTTGTTTGCAATCGTTTTAGTCATACGGGACCAACGTTGTGGGCGGACCCCCCCCCCGCGCTTTGCAACACCGACAAATATTAAACTTCGAGCATTCGAGTTTAAATAGTCATAACCGGACGCGCGCCTCCTGTCCGCTGCCTGCTCCACCTCCAGCGGTCTGGGGGCCGGGGGACCAGGTCGAGGTGTCAACAAATCCACGCTACCTAGCGGATGCAGGCTATAACTGGTGCCTGAACGCCCCTTCATATAGAAACAATATTTATGACTTTATAAAGAACGTATTGCAAATCGTTTTTACATGTGTTGTTACTTTGAATTTCCTTCGAGGGTCGTGGCTTCCCTTAAACTCTTGACATTGAACTTTTTTCTGCTTATAATTACTATATACTGCTCAAAGAATTTCCAAACTTTAGACACAAAGCAGTAATAGAGAGATTAACTCCAGAAATATCTAAACTGAAATAAACAATAAAAAAAGTGACGCGTAACCGAAAAATGTGACGGTAAATTTTTTTCCAACGCCGATAAGGAAGTTTCACTTCAAAAATGTGTGCGTGTACTAGTGTACACACGTAAGAAGTGAAACTTGTTTATGGCCTTATTTTTCGAAAAATGATCTACATGCAACTTTCTAGAAATTGGTTAAATAAAGTTAAATTAGATAAAGTTTAAACAAAAGGATTTTATTATCATAGACATGAATACAAAATACCATACAATCAGTTTTTTTTTATTGCTTAGATGGGTGGACGAGCTCACAGCCCCCTGGTGTTAAGTGGTTACTGGAGCCCATAGACATCTACAACGTAAATGCGCCACCCACCTTGAGATATAAGTTCTAAGGTCTCAGTATAGTTACAACGGCTGCCCCACCCTTCAAACCGAAACGCATTACTGCTTCACGGCAGAAATAGGCGGGGCGGTGGTACCTACCCGTGCGGACTCACAAGAGGTCCTACCACCAGTAATTACGCAAATTATAATTTTGCGGGTTTGATTTTTATTACACGATGTTATTCCTTCACCGTGGAAGTCAATCGTGAACATTTGTTAAGTACGTATTTCATTCGAAAAATTGGTACCCGCCTGCGGGATTCGAACACCGGTGCATCGCAACAACGAATGCACCGGACGTCTTATCCTTTAGGCCACGACGACTTGCCACCTCCATCAAGTAGCTCTTGACTACTTATTGCCTCCATCCGGCAAATAAGTGGGACCTCCATCCGGTACCCAACTTCAACACAAAACACTAATGCCCCATCCGGCACGCAAGTGGAACTTCCATCCAGTACCCACTTCAACCATAAAACACATCACAATGCCTCCATCCGGCAATAAAACGAACACATCACCTAAATCGAGCGATGTGTTCAATTACCAGTCATAAATGACACCGAATACTGTTCTTTACTAATCACACAAAATAGGACAACAAAATCCTTACTTTAATCAGTCAGTT